TCGAATATCTGTATGACTAGTTCTAATAAATCCCAAAATTTTGTTTCACAAAAATTGTTCCCGAAAGGCCGGAGCCTAGAAGACGTATAACTAATGACAATTTCTTTTACCGATCAACCAAGATTGCCAACGGCTCCTGTTGCGGTTTTGAATCGTTTTCGAATCTTCAGCTTCGCAGCATAGGGTGGGAAGGAAGTGCAGAAGCTGGCGGACGTTTATGTTCATTGTACACGGATAACATATCAGTGCACAAGGTTGTCACTAGTTTCAAGCTCGTCCAAAATACCGCTCAGTCTGAATAGTATGTCCGTAGGGACAGTCACAGATCGCTTAGTGTAGTGATGCACGATCGGTCTCCATTTAGCCTGGTAGCTGTTTTCGGAACCTCCGTTCTTTCAAGCCGGTGCATCACCAATGGAGCAATTTAGGTCGAATTTAGATAGCCCTATTGGCATACGTGGGATGATGCCACTACCTGACTGTACGACACGTGATGCGCAGCATAATATTGGTCGTTTACCCGCTGAAAAGTACATCGGGAGTCGTGGACTGAGGAGTGCCTCCAGGAAAGTTCAGGCTCACGTGGCTAGGGGCATGTCACTCACATCTGGCTTATCAAAGTCATTACGCAACTCCAGTATGGCAGCCCGAGTTGAGGTACGACTAAAGCTTTTCGAAACCTCAGGGGCATCGGTGTTGACGTTCCAGGTCTTTGCGTCGTTTCCTCCCTCCTGCACATCCAGGAAACCTCTGATGGCTGCTTTGGAAAATATAAATGCTATTGTGCAGTGTGTACCCCTGTAAATTGAGGCCGTCTTGCTAAGCTCCATGAGCTTGTCATCGTCTGGATCCTGTACTCTACCAAATGCATCAATGCAAAAGAACACAATCTCAAAACTTTTGTTGACTGCTCTGGCGTTCTGCGTTGTTTTTGCATAAACCTCTTCTAGAAAAGAAAAAAATACTAAGAATGTGAAGTAGTTATATAACTTGATTGAGAAATAATAATTGTACTTAAGATTGCTGCAGTCTTAACAGCCTAGGGCTGGAGAGCATAATAGCTCTCAAAATCAGTTTAATTAGAGCAACCCTTAGTATCTGCAAGATAACAGAGACCGGAACCTTTGGAACGATCATAATGACACCATCCAACCTAGCAATGTTAGTAGATAGCCTGGCTCTACATATTGACTTGTAAAGCTTACCTGAGCGCCAATAGTGTAATCATAACAGCGAGAACAGATAGGTAGAGGTTTTCTAGTGTCTGGGTTATAACAGCTATCAGAAGATAGAACGCCAACTACCATCGTACTAAAATAGGTTGAAATGGTGAGTAGACTATATAGCCAAGTAGATCGGGTTTCATCTTGAGAGAGAAAATCGATCTTGTATTTATATTTCGGTATATAATATGCAAGATGAGGTCTATCATAAGATGGTGTTCGTACTGTATAGCTTCTAGTGTTCTTTTGTAGTGTTTGAAGCTTAGTCCAAGAGATAGGTATTTTACGAACGCAGTTATGAAAGAGGATTATAAATTTAATAGTGTCTCGTACATGGTGATGAGTATCTAAAATATGAGTATTAAAGTTTATTGCCGACTTATGAAATACGTGTGGCGGATAGATAGACGTTAGTGGTAGAGTAACACAGAGTAATAAGAAAACTATATTTGTGTTTTGGCTAGAATAGAGCCGATAAGAAGAAAATATCGCTATGTTATTTCTTAGAATAGTGATAGTAGTTAACAGTCAGGCAAATTATATAGCTACAGAGGCTTCTACAAAGCCGTAGGTAAATGCCTAGAGAGAAAGACGTCTTGCAAGGCTGCAATTGTTCTCCAAGCTACCTAGCAGTTATCTCCAAAATCTTGCATTCTTACTAAGTCGTGCTTTGACCAGATTGGTGCAATTGATGAAAAAAAGAAATCCAGTTTACATTGCGTGACGCGTTTCGCGGATAGGCATACAATATATTAGTTGGAATAAATTAAAATACATGCTTGAGGAGTATTTAAGGGTACTAAGGAGATCATATACTTTATAAACGTAACTTGGGCTGGCCTCGCGCGAGGGATGCCTAATAGATCTATCAGGGTCGTCCTCTGGTTTAAAATATCGTGACACGTTTATGCCGGGAATTTTCCTAATGAGACAGCTAGAAATGACGCAGGTCTGTCTCAGTATTGGCGGAGATGAGAAAAAGCTTACTACAGAGTGACTACGGAATGAGGAAGGCCAAGGTCTATTCTTTTGTTTGAGGTTGGCAGACGAAAATGAGATCGGGGTCTCTAGGTCGAAGCGCCCCTCTTAATGGCTGTGTCGGTGTATGCATTTACCTGATGGTTCTTGAAGTCCCTAGCTCGGACGCCTTCTGCGAACAATATGTCGATCTCCTCGAAAGTGCGCCCTTTTGTCTCAGGTAGGCGGAAAAAGGTCCAAATAAAGAAGAGGAATGCGCAGCCACCCCAGAAAAATCCTGTTTTTCCCTTCCAGTCACCTGCTGTTGGGTTGAGCATGTAAGGATTGACGACGTTGCTGATGATCTGCGCGATATAGTAGACTATACGGCTGAGGCAAACACTCTTGCTACGTAATCGAGTTGAGGACACCTCGGTGATGATGGCGTAGCACATTGGTCCAACGGTGAGATAGTAGATCGCGAGCCACCCAAGCATAAGACCAGCTTGGGCATAGTTTCCTCGCGATGAACTGGCGTCGCCAGCACTTATAGCGCCGACAGTTACGAGAATAGCAGTAAGTCCACCTAAGCCCCAAAGGTAAATGGTTCGACGACCACAGTAGGACATGAGAAACCAGGATACGACCGTGCCAATGGATGCAATGCCCAGACCACCAATAGACATCTTGAAAGAAATGCTGTTGGGAAGACCGGCCTGAACGAAAAAGTATGTTGGAGTGCCGCCCATAGCTGAGCCGCAGAGGGGTTGAGCGGCAAAAGCCATGCAAGCAATCTCGGTACGACGCAGGTCTATGCCCTTGAAGCATTGGAAGTAAGACGTATCCTTGCTAAGAGACACCTCCAGATTGTTTGTATGTACCATCATCGCGACCTTCTGCTTGATTGAGTCTAGCTGGGACGGTGAAGAAAGGCGTTTCAACATCTTTTCTGCCATTCTAAGGTTGCCCTTACGGACGTAGTGCCACGGTGATTCGGGGGCAAAGAAGAGTACCAGGAAGAGCGGAATCGGCCATGCCCACTGGATGGCAAAAGGAATGCGATATGACCATTGGCTGGTACCACCAGAGAACGCTGACTGTACACCTGCAGAGATGAGTTGTCCGAAAGCCCAACAGAGATTGACGTATACAGCTAGATATCCTCGCAAGGCCAGGGGGCAGACCTCGCTCGCATAGGCAGGTGCCATGGTTGCAAAAACGCCCTGTAAGCATTGGTGAAAGCTCCAAGCTTTCTCGACTGAGTACTTACCCATGGTATACCACAGAGAAATTGGCCTACAAGTAGAACCGGCAAACTAGGTGCGGAGAACGAAATAGCGATGAAAGCGCAAATGAAGGCCAAAGAAGTGAGAAGGACCGGGCGGTAGCCATATCTGTGGCAGAAGTATCCATTAGCAAAGGCACCGATGATAGTCCCACACCCGACGGCGTTTCCAAGTCCAGCCTGCCAAGAGGCCGTAATCTGACAGGCCCCGCTAGAATCGCACCGACCGTATCGGCGAGCGAAGGCTGGCTGGGCGAAGAAAGAGTAGATGAGGACGAGGTCGTAGCCTTCCATGATGATACACGCCGATAACAAGACGGACCACATCACCGATTTGGGGTGAAGGCGGAGGGCTTGCCAGGGTGTAAGATCATGCTCGTCCTCAGCAGCCTGCCTCGCTTGGTGAAATCCTTCATCATGCTCATCCAGGATAACTTCGTTTTTGGTCAGGGTAGACATGAGAATACTCAATTCTGTTGGGCGCAACTGTATAGCACAATAGAGAAGCTGACCGACTTGAGATCCATGCAAGTAGTGATAAGAAGGGATATATAGTTGCGTTGTCGAGGAGAGTAACATTCGGCGGTCTTGACCTTCAATCTCATCCCAGGCCCCCACCGGAGCAAAAGCCTGATAATCTGGGGTAGAATTCGGCTGGGGTTGCATGTGGAGAAGCAGGGGAGGCGTTGACGAACCAAGTGACACGAGCTATGGCGGGGCCGACCAGCCCCGGTGGGCAACCCACCTAAAATTCCGCAACGCAGTCTCCACTTTTGGGCAGTGTGAACTAATGGGATGGCAATTCATTTCGCTTACGAAACAATTGTCGATCATTTTGAGCGTCCAGGAAAAAGATTTCCATGCATTGGAATTTTGATTAAAAAGTTGGCCTACGTAGGATTCAAATTTTTGTCCCAGTCAGGACAACGCCCAAATGTCCCTTCATGTGGATCAATGGATATGGAGACGGACGCGCACGATCGATATTTTCAGACCATCGCCAAGCACCAAGGGAAGATTAGAGAGCTCTGGGTCGTGCCATTCCTCTCTAAATACGACATGGCCTCGAGTATTCCGCTCAATGACTTTACATAGGACTCCTCGATGCCCCATGTGAATTGTGGTGCCGTATCGTCCGTGTTGATACACGCTCGTGAGCCCGCCAGAAGAAGGCTCCGTCCTTCTCGAAGAATATTAGGGGCAGCTTGGGGATCGAGGATATTGCCAACTCTCGAAATGTTGGGACACATCCTGTGACCAACGCGTACGAAGAGTTGTACCAGCTCATCATCCAAGGGCCGGTCCAGATGACAGAACCTTGGCTCTGGAACACCATCTCTGTCGTTGAAAATAGCCTCAGAAACTTCTGGTAGTTGCATGGTCACGCAGAACGACCACAAAGTAAGGGTTGCAATAAAAATGGCGTAGGGCTCCTGCACACTGTCTCGACTATACCTTCGTACATGCCAGTAAAGCGCAGCACAGTGAATTACAGCAAGCCTGGTCTTATATCTGTCTCCAATGACCCACTGAAGTAGCTCATTTCGTGCGCGATCTAGACAAATCCGGCTGTCAGTCTGGGCTCCGTACTGAGTAATATCTGTCAGACCCTTCGCCAAAGATTGAATGCAACCAGTAGGCGTGAGTATTGTGATACGTGCGAGGTGCAGTTGTAAGATTGTATGGTGTTCAAATCCAGAGGATGTTGCCACTTTGCTGTTGGCATGCCAGTGCAATATGTCCAAGGAGTCGCAAGCACTGTTGCGCCACTTGGAACCTATCTGAGTCGATGGGAGCCAGTCTAAAGGTGGACGATTGTGTTGACTGGCGCTTCGATGTTCTGCCATCGCTGAAGGAACCCATGCTCTCAGTCGACTTGCTGTCAGCATATCCTTTGTATGACGATAGATTGCGTGTATCAGCAGTGTCACACTAAACTCGGTTAGACCAACGGGTAATCTCTTCTCCATGTAGAGAACCTCGAGGGCCTCAGTCAATGTCATCGACTGGGGAAACCCATGCTCTGGACGGTTCTGGAAGCTGCCCTGCCATACGTCCTCACATGACGGCAGTTTGGTTCTCACATCATCAAGGTTCAACAATGGTCGAACTCCAAATTCGTACATCATTGAACAGTCGAACAACTATTCCAGTCAGCTGATAAGATCAGTGATGAAAAGTTGATGCTACCCACCCAGAGCGAGATCCCAGTCCGGATTCTCGCTTCGCTCATCAACCAGCCTGGTGAGCCAGGAGTCGTGCATGAAGACAGGGCACTACCGTTCTCAGAACTTATTTCGAGGAGTTTCAGAGAGCGACAACTATTGATAAGATCGTGGCGCACTCTCAGTGCTTTTTCCATGGATCCCTGCCTTCCTGACTGCAGTAGGCAAACAAGGTGCAGTATACCAGCTTGCAAAGTTTGAATATCAGTGGGGCTGGTTACCATCATATTTCCACCAGGTACGTATAAATCATTGTCGACATTGACGGCTGCAGAGTAACGTCCAAGTTTGCACCAATCAATCGCAGCGTCTAGCCTTCCTGAGAGAATATTATATGAATCTCGAGATCCTGGAACGAATCTGGACCCTATTGCAGCAACAGCAAGGAGAAGCAACCATCTCTGCGGGCTTTCTTCGTCGAAATTTGTTTTACGCAGAAAAGGGAATACTGGGTTGAAGCGGGCAAAGTACTGCTGCACATAGAGCTCAATCTGTGCATGAGTAGGGAATCCCGTTGATTCAACGCCTGATTTGTTCGAATCAAGTCCGTGGAGTCTGAGTGTGTCACGTAATGTATCGTACGCTTTCTCAGAGCACAGTGTAGATGAGCAGGATGGGTAAGCTGCTTCCGATGCATTGCCTATCCTGAGACTGGTCGGTAGCGCTTGATCAACAGCAAGTGAGCCACGATCATGGTATCGGCCTCTGAATGGTGCACGTGAGCCATCGCCGTTAACATAGTATTCTGCACTAGCGGTGAGAGGCGTTTGCATAATCTGCGCGCTGTCGCAATTTGAAGTTTCAATCACCGAAGATGTAGTTTGGTGGCTTTGCTGACGCAAACTATGATTCATGTCATGCACCGCTGGGAGGATGGCGTCTGGTGTTTGATCTCCGCGTGGGTCAAGTGGGGACTTCCCAGTGTCATTGTTGGGTAACATGTTCCAGTCAATATCGTACTGATATCCAGGCGATATCCAATTAATGCCTAGTGGGCCAAGATCTGGAAGGTCAATGTCGTAAAGCGTAACAATGTCACCCAATGACGCGCCCCAGATACTGTTGTCCTCTCCAGGTTCACTGAGAGCTGCGTTATCCCGACGCATTGCAGTACCGTCGCTTGACGGAATCTCTACTTCGCTGTCGATTGTAACGGCTTCATGGGCCATTTCCAGTAAGGCGCTTGAACCCAAGTTTTCGGGTTCGGCGGACTGCATCCCTCCCCGCTCGCTTGTATTGCCTCGTGAGACTGCTCTACCTGAGGCAGGGTAACAACATGGCAAGTTGCGACTCGAGCATCTCTTGCAGGGTAAACTCCGTGTACAGCGAACGCGGTCAAGCGCACACTGCTTGCATGCTCTGGTAGAAACAGGTGTTGCTGACACTTCGTTTTGCTGCTCATGTGATGCCTTGTGACGGGTCAAGACATCACCGATCTTGGTTAGATGTTGTCTCCAATACCCAAAGGATAACTTACAGTCGGGAGAACCGTTTTTCGCAGAAAGAGCATCTGTATGGCTTTTCGTGTGTATGTGTGCGAAAATGACGAGTGAGATGTTCTGGCCTGCGGAATGTTTGGTTACAAACAGAGCAGCTAATATGCATCGTTGGCAGCGACTGCGTTGGTATCACACAGGTTGTTGAAGGAACATCTAGAGCACTAACACCTTGGTCATGGTGCTGCTTGAAAACTCCTATAGCGATTGTGATTAGTGGGCTGTCTGATGTTAAGGTAATCAGGAAGACAGTGCGGGGTTGTCTGGGCAGCTGACCAGGTTGAGACTAGTAGGTACCAGCCGGGAACAAGCGAGAAGACACATCATTGCAACAATATCATCGTCCGAGGCATTAATCTCTGCTAGATTTGTGCATTAGAAATTGCACGTTTTTGTCTACAGCCTGATAAATACAGGCATTTCCTCCAAAGGAGACGCGGCCATAATATGAACGCCACCCTCGTAGGTATCTTCGCTCCATAGCCTCTGCCACTTCTTGCCATCATTCAGCTTTGGTAGATACACCGCTGTCTGCGTTTGATCCTCCGAAAAAACCGGACAGCAGAGATACTTGTCGCCATACATATACTGTTCGTCGACTTCCCAACAAATGGTATCATCCGGAAATTCGAAGAAGAGCGTCCTCATGATTGGGGTGCCATGCTCGTGAGCTTCCTTCATGAGCTTTCGCGTGTAAGGTCGGAGTTCTTCACGAAACTGCATGTACCTTTTGCAGATCTCAAACACCTCCGACCCGTATGACCACACCTCGTTTTCCGCACCGCTGCGACATGATGCTCCTCCAGTATTACCGACCTTAGCCTGCCTTGGCTCGCGATCGCCATGAAGCCTCATAACGGGGCAAAACGCTCCCCACTGGAACCATCGCACGAACAACTCCCGAAACTTAGGGTCATTAGGGTCACCCCCGTGGAAACCACCGATGTCTATTGTTCAAAGTAAGCCTTCAATACAAGCTGGGACTTGAAGGAAGTTACCTGTTGTCCACCAGGGAATACCGGCGATGCCCATAGATAGCCCTGCCGCCAGTTGGTTTCGGAAGCTGCTCCACGAGGAAGCAATGTCACCACTCCATACAAGGGCACCGTACTTTTGACTGCCTGCCCAAGCACAACGAACAAGATTGACGACTCCAGTCTGACCCTCATCCACCATGCCCTCGTAAAAGGCACGCGAGTATTCTCGTGGAAAGATGTTGCCGACGGCCAGGTTAGATCCAAGATGATACCTGTAGTTGTCGAAGTCGTACACCGTGTACTCGGGCTCGGCTTCGTCCAACCAGAAAACCTTGATGCCCTTTGAGTAGTAGTTTTGCTTCACCTTGTCCCACACGTACTTACGCGATGCTGGATTGGTTGGATCGAAATGTACAGTGACACCCTGGAATGTCATGGCAATGCGTTCGCCACGCTCTGTGCGAATGAGCAAACCCTTCTCCAGCATCTCGTCATAGTTTTCGGACTTGCGATCAACTGTTGGCCAGATTGAGACCATGAGTTCGATACCCATATCTTGCAACTCCTTGACCATGGCGTTTGGATTTGGCCAATATGTCTCATCAAAGCGCCAATCGCCCTGTTTTGGCCAGTGCTGAAGCGAGTTAATACGCGTTCTGAGCGAGGTTTTACTCTGCCGCAACTCACAAAGAAGTCTATGACGATCAAATCAATCGGCAATTGGAGTCGTTTGTACTCTCGTGCAACATTGAGGAGCTCGTCCTGGGTCTGGTAACGCAACTTGCATTGCCAGAAGCCGAGGCCATATTCTGGCATCATAGGTACCTTACCAGTGGCCTCGGCATATGCCTCAATAATCTGCGCTGGCGTCTCTCCTGCCACGACCCAGTAGTCTAAGACCGTTGTTGACCGAGCCTCGAAGCTCATGATGTTTTTGCCAAAGATCGCAGTCCCAATGGATGGATTGTTCCACAGAAAGCCATAGCCACGAGAAGACAGCGCAAATGGTACGCTGGCCTGAGAGTTGCGGTGCGCAAGTTCGATCTGAGTACCTTTGATATCCAGATAGGGCTGTTGGTACTGTCCCATGCCAAAGATCTTCTCCTTTGGATCAAGGCTCTCGAACCTGGCCGTGAGATGATAGTCACCACCAATGATTGGTTTGAACTCGCGCGCTTCAATCTCGAGAGCGCTACATTTCTGATCTGTAGGCTCTCGCCGGTTCCGAGCAAACTCCTCGAGCAGGACTTTTCCACTGTCATCACGGACAGTAACTTTACCCCGCTGCGTTACTGTAGCGCTGATACGGCCGTTGACCAGGGTAGCGCATTCATCTGTGATATTGACGTCTGATATGGTGGGCTTGGCCTGAAGCAGCGCCCAATCCTTGGTAGACATGCTACTGGCTTTGGTGGCACGAACGCGGAGAGAGTTTTGGCCCCACGGTTCGATCCATAGCCGTTCTGCGTCGAATGCGAATACGAGACGACCGTGCTCGTGGAGGAACATTATTCAGTTTACGAAAAGCCTGTCTGTTATTCAATTAGGAATGTCTGTCGAAAAGCGGTTCGTGTGAAGCCACGCATTAGGGGCGTGCGCACAGCTTTGCAGGCAAGCCAGAGCGCTGCGGCCACAAGACCGTGACAAAGGCATCATTAATGTGGATGAGCGGGGTCCACCAGGCTCGTGTACCGGTACGTGTAGGAACAGTACAATTTCTCCGTGTTGTTCGGGGAGAAGGGTGGGCGCCTCCACCGGAGCGTGAGGGGAAGGCGGGCTCGGAAAGTGGGCTAGCGTAGTCTCCATCGGAGGATTCAAAACGCATCCCGAGGGTAGGTGTACTAACAAAGCATTGGTGGCGACTCTTCGATGCAGTCACGTTGCGCAACCGTGTCGCATCTACATGTTGCTTCTGTACGTCTGGTTGGATCCAGTCAATCCAATAGATACTCTGTCACACGGTTGGGTGCAAGGGTTGCAGGTGTGGGATGTTAAGAAGAGTGCGTACATATGGTGTATGGAATATTGTTTTAGTATTAGCTATAGTAGTTGAGCTTGACTTATCCAGTGGAGTCAGGTGGTACGGCGTGGGTACTGCAACGAAAATACCATAACACCTGCAATATATCGCAGTATCAATTGACACATATGTCATTCGAATCCTAGCACAGTACTAGAGACAAGAGTTGTTAAGTAAGAATGATTTTGACTATGTACGGTATATATTTTCTAGGATTACAGCAACTGCATATGTAGAGGCACTACGCTAGTGCTACATTGAGCACTTATGCAGATTGACATATGTTCCAGTGAAATGTTCACTATGAGTGCGACGATTTAACTCTACTCTTTGTTGGTAGAGATGCACCAACAATTATCCTGGCCATCTTTAACACACAATGATTTATTCGTGTTTCTGTTACCCTTTATATTGGAATGCTTCTGACCTGTACCTATCTGGAATATCACCCAAATACACATTTACAGCTTAGGACCTCGTAAAACTTGAAATCTTAAATGAAAATCACTAAAAATGACGATAGCAACCGAGAGAATCTTGATTTTTTTTTCAACTGTCCTTGTTCCATACATCAAACTACATATCCAAGCATTGTACCTTGATAAGCTCACTGTACCCCGCCGGAAACGTTATATCTTGACATGGGTTATGCGGGGTTGCAGGCACCTTACTCCACCGGGAGTTCTCCTGGATTTATCTAGAGTTGGAAACAATTAATTTGATTCCGCGCTACTGTAACCCCGCATCACACCTGTAGCAATAACACTGCTTTTTTACAGACGATCAAAAATAATTTTAAAAACACATTGCTGGAAAAAAATTTCCGCATTGATCTAAATGCTAGTACGAGTTAGCCAAAGACGTGCACACATAAGAAGAGATTGATTTACCATCCATTGGGGTATACCATCAGGCCTGTCACCAGTACGTTCTGAAGAAAAGATGAGGTCATCCACAGTCGTTAGTATTCTACTTTCGAGCCTTACGGTCCTCGAAGCAGCCAGCATCCGAAGAGTAGCTAAGGGCGTTGCAACCGTTGACCTTTCCAAGACTTCCGGCCAGGCAAAATTCCTTGCTTCTGGATGGATCTACGGATTTCCCGACAACGGAACAGCAGCAGATACTTCGATTCCCGCGAATTACATTACGGACGTCAAATTCGGTGCTAGCCGAGCTGGCGGTGCTCAAACGTCTTCCCGTGGCTGGGTCGATGGTTACCAGAGCTACATTCCGCGCTTCGAGTCCACCCTTTCTAACTACCGTACCACTCGGAAATACAATGGCGAGTTTATACTCCTCGTCCACGATCTATGGGGAGCAGATGGCAGCAGCATCCCTTACTTCCCTGGTGATAATGGTAACTGGACCGAAACCGACGCTTTCTTGACCCAGCTCGTCAAAGACATCAAAGCCAACAACATGCTCGACGGCCTTATCCTCGACCTCTGGAATGAACCTGATATTGATATATTCTGGGCTCGTACTTGGCCTCAATACCTTGATTACTACGTCCACGCCCACAACTTCTTCAAGCAAGTTTCCACACACATGTCAATTTCTAATTTGTCCCTAGAACACTTGCTAACCAACCTTTCTCAACCAGAAAAAACCTTCCTTCAACTATCAGAAGTGGCCCTTCCATGGCCAGCTCACCTAGTACTAACTCCGAAAATTGGCAAACCTGGCTAAGCACCATAGCAAGCAAAGACGCCACCCCAGATATTTACTCTTGGCACCAGATCGGTAACTCGTCCCGCCAACCTGACGCCACAATCCCTGACTTTAACACCCTCCGTTCCTCGAAAAACCTGCCTGAACGCCCTATCGACATTAACGAGTATGCAGCAAAAGAAGAGCAAACCCCCGGCTGCTCCGTGTACTACATTGCCCAACTCGAGCGTCACAACTTGCGTGGTCTACGTGCAAACTGGGGATCTGGAACGGGCCTTCACGATTCGCTCGCTAATCTGGTCTTTAATCAGAGTGGCGCTGGGTATCTTCCGAATGGAGAGTGGCAGTTGTACAAGTATTACGCCGGGATGACGGGAGAGAGGCTTGCAACCAAGGCGGCTGATGATAGTCTGTTTGACGTATTCGCGACCAAATCTGCCGACGGGCTGGTGAAGGTTATCGCAGGGACGCGCATTGTGAATGGCCAGTACGATATTCAGCTTAGTGGATTAAAGGGCGCGTCGGTTAGTGTCGCTACCTATCGTTTTGACTGGGCGGGGCCTATGGGCGAGATAATGGCGCCCGTGGCGTTGGGTACTAGCACAGTGAATATTAGTAGTGGGATGGTTAGTGAAATTTCTTTCTTTTGCTTTTTTCTTCTTCCTAGTAAGGACCTGGATATGAATATTGCTAATGTCTCATTTGAACAGATTACTATCTCAGTTGATCCGGCGACTAACGCGACCGCGTATGCATATGAGATTTCTGACGTGAAGGAGTGAACTGGCACCGCGAGCCTTGTTAATCTCCATGCCGAGAATGTCCTAAAACCACCGAGTTCTAGAACCATGTGCATATTTAAAGTATCTAAGCCAATATACCGCGCCTATAATTGAAGTAAACTAATTTTCAAACTTGAAAAGAGAGAAAAGAGTACTAGATTATAAAATGGATTGGTTTTTAATATCGCTTAACTCGTTTCTTTCTATCTCCTATATAGGGTATTAGATTAATTATCTTAGAAAACAATAGCAGGCCACACCCTAACCTACTAGAATTAGGTATTATAACAATCGACTCTATATTTCAAGTATATGATAAAAAGATTTGCGTAGACTGCCATAAGACTCTATTAAACTATAAAAAAATAAGTTAGTAATACTACAAAAATACGCCTCTTAATAGGTTAAAGGTCCCATACTGCTTCCAGATGCTCGGACGCAATACTCTCCCATAGTTCGGCCTGTTGTTGGAAAAGCGAGCCCACCGAAGCTAGATTGGACATTCCGGGTAGTTCCATAGTCCTTTCCCGGTGCGCCAAAACATCCATATGAAGCTGGAGAAAATCTGATTTTAGGATCATGGTAGGGTGAGTAATACCCCTAGTCAGCTTCGTGTCGTACTTTTCAACCACATGCCACTTGTGCCCTTGCTGGAGCATCTTGGTGGCGAATGTATCGTTCAGATTGCGAAAATTTGCTCCCAAGCGTTTCTCTAGGCCGTTAGGCTCTAGCGGGCCACCAAAAAAGTCCCTACGATGGTATGGGCCTTCAAGTGCATCCCTCGTATACTCACCGAAACTGTCCGAGATGTAAAACAGATAATTGCGCATTTGCTTGACAGTGTTGTACGCATCCCCCAGTTTGTGAAAGTCTGGTGTGATTTGAATCAGGTCTCTCTCAAGGCGGTCCACAATAGATGGCAGGCTGAGCAAGGTATGATCGATGAGCATTTTGCTCAGTTTTTGGCGTAAGCTATCAATGCCGCGACCCACGTCACGTATTGGCAAAGTATCCCAGCTGCTTTTTTTGGAGAAATCTCTCTCGAATGCATCTCGTTCTTCCAGAGACTTGTTCTGCTCCGCAAATGATCAATTACGAACAACTTGCCTGGAGAAGGCAAGACCAGATCAGCAACCAGGTAGTAAATGGGGGTTGGGATACAGAGATTGTCACATACCAACCGTATTTGAACTTAGCTGTATTTGAGTGTGCGTACTCTATACATTCCTGCTCCTTTTCCGACCCTTGGGGTAGCTCGTCAGGTTTGGTTATGATACCGAGTGTGCGGTCTGTGGCACCGTGAATCTTCTGAATTCTCGTTAGGGTAGCTTGGAGATTAAGATCGTTATGCGTCGAGACGACGGCAAGAATGACGCTGTTTGGCTCTGCTATGTATTTTCCGACCACGTCGTTGATCAGCTCAATATCCCGGGAGCCAGATGGAGCGTTGCTATAATGAATAACTCCGGGAAGGTTGGCCAGCGTCAATGGGACAAGCTTTGGACCCATAATCTCGACTTCCAATACGTGGTCGAAGAATTTGGGTTTGGCGAAGTTCGGTAGCAAAGCTTGTGCATGTGCTGCTCTTCGTCGGAGAGCATACACGAGTGAGAGCCTCAAGAACCGAGCTTTTGCCAGAAGATTGATCTCCGCAGACAATAATCTGCAGAAGTCCTTTCCCCTCGAGCAATCTTCCGATTCCGAGAGAGCGGAGCTCATCGATAGCATCGAGGAGTTGACTGTCGTCATTGGAGAGGAGTTGGTGGAGGGTTGTTCCCTCCAAAGCTGATGCGTGCTCTACCCTTCTTTTAAGCTTATTGGATTGCTCGAGATTGTCAATTTGACAGAATTTGACTTGATATTGGGCTCTGGTATAGACAATCTAATGCGGACTGGAGGGGAAATAACAGCATTGAGCGACGTAACTTATATGTCTCTCGTTCCTGCTGTGCCGCATGCGAGATACTTTCCCTACCCCAGAGCGGGATTTTGGCTTTACCTATGTGGTCAATGAAAACGGTTCATGTTGCAGGGAATTTCTAACCGCAGAATTGCTGTACGCGATACAAAGGCCCGCCCATGGATAATTGGCTGCGATACAAGTTATGCCGCAATAATAGCCATCTCACTCTGCGGACCCAGCCTAGTGCGTGTTTCATGGGGCGGAAACTCCACCAATGTGTTACGATCCAAAGGCAAATGCTTACAAGCAACCAGTTTGAAGGATCGCAAGGGGTGCATAGCGCTGCAATCCTTTAACCACGCCGCAATCACGTGACTAATCGTACACGATCAGCTGTATCCAGCCAATCAAGGCGTGATCATCAACGATCACTTAGCTACCAATCAAAATTAAGCATTCTTTTTCATCATCCACGATCATTCCATTTCCTTGGTATAGAGCGAGGATATCAACCACCTATAGGTTAATGTGTTTAACTTAGGTTTCAAGTGCTAAGTACAATACACGGAATGATTCTACTTTCTTAGGTTACTATCCTCTAGCACCCCATCCTTCTCTCTGCGAAGACTAACTAATAAGAAGCTTAATAATAGAAGTCTAATATTATGTCTACTTAAGCTATACTGTTAATAGTCGTTTCGTAGATAAACTTAGAATGAATTAGTTCAAGTGAATTGCGACGAGTATTACAGAATTTATCTAAGTTTCAGATAGTTATGACTTTATACTCTATGTAATTTACTATTGTTAGGACATAACCTCCTTTACGACCTTCCCAGCTACCCCTAGCTAGCCTAGCCTATTTTAGCTCCTATTAGTTAGCTTCTGACCTGTATAACGTATATAAGTATTAGGAACACTGCCTTAGCTCGGTAGCTATTCATTTACGTGAATCCGGACTATTTACCCCAAGATAACTCTTGCTACTCTCTACCTATGTCTAACGAAACTTAAACGTCTCACAACTATAGCTTTATTGGCCCAAGAGGTCTCTGATAGGTTTCTAGAGTTTAGCCTTTTGAGGCCTCTAGTTCAGTGTGTTGTGACAAGATTAAATAATAGATTATAGTACCTTGGTCTATGGAACAAAGTATAGTCTATATATGTATATGGTAATTTTGTAGGATCATAAATCTTAAAAGCAATAGCTGTTGAGGTCTAGGCTAGTTTGCCTTACTTTCTAATCCAAGGACCAGCGCTCTGAGAAACAGTGACGTTAGCCTCGCCTTGGCTACGGGGCCATTCTGCAGTTCCATAGACAATCTTTCCATTTGGAAGGTGTTGGCTCAGGCGAAGGGCTAGAGAAAAAAAATTAGCTTTGATTATTGGGATTCGTTCTTGGGGCAAGTAAAACGTACTTTGGTTGTCGTAAGTCCACTCAAATGAGCAGGTGTCGCATGAGTGAATGACAGGGAGTTCGGCGTAAGGAGTCTCTCCACAATGGCTTCCCAACTTCTTATCTTCGGGGTAGTCAGGCGATGTGAAGTAGGCGTTTAAGTTGACTTGGGCTGGGCCAGGTCCAAAGCTCATCTGGACAAACCATTGGCCGTCGTCGGCGCGAGATACTACAGCAGCAGAGGCGGTGGCAGCAAAAGCGAGGAGAGTGGCGGAGAAATGCATCTTGGTGTTGGTGATGGTGACTAAGTAGTTGGTAAAAGATGTATGGATAGTGATGTGGGATGTGAAAGTTGGGGGCGGTGATGTGGACTTGTTGGTGAAAAGAGATTAATTTATATAAAGCTTCTGAAAACCATGACAACGCATATTTAGGCTAAGAAAACAGACATGTACTATAAAAAGACTTAAGCCCCGCACCTCGTACGGCAAAGGGGATTATCCTTGTACTACATACGCCGGGGGGGGGGGGGGGTGTTCATTGCTTCTTGCGCACTGGTCAACTGAACGTGGTTCCACTGTTCCACTCCGGAAGATGGTCAAAGCCCCGGTGGACCGGAAATGTCGGAAATTCGAAGCAAGCAGATTCTTGCCCACCTATACTTGCCATTAGCACTACGACATGGTGACGCCATGCTGGAGATTTTTGACATAGGGAATGCACTAAAGTAGATAGAATATATTGGCTTTTCGTTGAATGCATAAACGTTGAGTAGAAAAATACGAGGCCAACACATAGATGGATGTGGGCAGTCGCATTAGAGTTATTGCGGCCCGATCTAGTAGGCAAAGCCGCTCGTTCCCCCTTTCCCACTTTCGCACCGTACTAAGAGTTGGTTAACGCTAGATTCTAGATATTGGTGAGCATACTCAAGCTGCTTTAGCTAGGAAATCTGGACATTGGCTTAAAGCATTCGAAAACCCATGGATTTAGCTATGAAACTGGGACTTCGCAGAATCCTGAGCGGACGCGTGTGGCGCAAAGCTTATTTTCCTCACGCCAAGCATCTTTAGTCAAATGCCTACCCTGTCTACACTACACCTATTTTAGTTACGCTCATACCGTATCCCCTTTTAGGTGCGTTGGAGCAGAGGTTATTTTCAGGTACTGCGCGGGAGATATCCTAAGAAGTTTTTAGAATTATTTTATTCTATCTACGGAAGTTTCTAAAATTAGATAGGTGTAGAGAGCGCTACACCCACGAGTGCTACATTACGATCCTACCTTAGGAATAAGAGGAAATCCTGCCGTTGTATTTGGAAACTCCGGAAAGGAAATCAAGAATCGACGGGAGAACGCCAGACTCGCGCATAGCATGATGACTCGCGCATAGCGTGATGACTCGCGCATAGCGTGATAACTGGCGCGCGCCTTCTTAACCCAGTCTCCTCCCGTCCTCGCCCTCCGCCTTTCCTTCCTCGCCCTTGGCGTCTTCGTTGTCTTCGTCCACCTTGACCCAGCGGATTTCGAACGAGCGTAGCGCCTCGGCGATCTCGTTAGCTGGCAATCCCTCCTCTACTGGATGTGGTCATTGCATGCAATAGTCTAGCCGATGCAACAACCCGCTTAGATGTTAAAAGTAACAAGAAGGATTCTCTCCTTAACGAAGGATGGGAGGCAAGGAGCCTATGGATGTGAACGTCAGAAGGTATCGATTATCGCGGGGCGAGGATCACGTGACTTGTTATCTCGCTAAGAAGTAACATCTCCCCAAGAGGATAGATGCTATAACTAGACTAGCAAATAGGTGAAGGTTAAGTTATGATTAGGTTGCTAAAAGTTTAGGTTAGAGTTGGATTAGAGCTATAATTATATAAGACCTAAATTAATCTCCATTATAACTATCCTACTAAGATAGAATAGATAGAATAGTACGGAGGTGCCTTTTAAAAGTATTGTCTGA